ACGTGGATCCACAACTATTTAGGCCGGGGAAAGGAGGATCACCAGCTATTTCGACTAATTCGCCACCGATACACTGAAAGCCCCAGGATGAGAAGAATGATTGGGTATAAGGGTATGATTGGGTGCAATTGCATGATTGGGCACAAGTGTACGATTGGGCACAAGTGTATGATTGGGCACAAGTGTATGATTGGGCACAAGTGTATGATTGGGCACAAGTGTATGATTGGGCACAAGTGTATGATTAGATACAACTGTATAGACGGTTGATGTTTCCTCAGATTCAGTTTGCAAAATCATCGCCATAAACTGAGCCATAGATTTTGCATTACCTAAGAAACGGGGTTGCTTTGTCATTTCTTTTTCTTCCATGTCTGCTCTGAGAGTTATCTAGACAGGCGTCACAGACTCACATGACATAATCGGCAACCGAGCGTTTACCTCCGCTCTAATTCTAGGGGTTTAGGTATTCTTGTTGTTAGTGTACAGGGAAGGTGTACGCTTGATAACCCTGGTGCAGTCGAATTGGCCTCAAAACTAACAATCTAACTACGTGGTGAAACGAACATCTCTTCAACAGTCAGTGTCTTGGTTTACATGGCTGTGAGTTACGGCGTCTAAGAAATAGTGGTTTGGACACTCCTGGCTTTGAATGCTACAAGAGCACGAGATACATAGTGTTTGTCTCATCCCATAACCTATTCATTTTGGTTAGGTTAGGTAAATTTCGTCAGGAAACAGAGCAAGTTTTTCCTGACATCGTTCTTAGTAATGTTATAGCTGAAACAATCCCCGGAGGTAGCGCAGATGAAAGGTCACACACACATGAGCTACTAAGTCTCTGCGAAAAACACACCTTAAGCCAGCAGATAGTGGAGCCAACAAGACTAGAAAACACACTTGACCTTATCTTCACAAATAATGAGGACCTGATAAGAGACATAAGAATATCAAAAACAACTAATTCCGATCACAATCTAATCGAAGTCCAGACGTACATGCATAGGGGTCCTGAACAGCAGAATGCATGTACCTGTGAAGGTGTCTTCACAAAATACATTTTCAACAACAAGAACATCAACTGGGACCAGGTAAACCATGTCCTAAACGAAACATGTTGGGAAGATGTCTTAAATGACATGGATCCAAACCAGTGCCTTGAAAGGATCAACTTCCTGGTAGCCGAAGCATGTTCTAGGCATATTCCCCTAAGAAAGAAGAAGAGCAGGAGTAAACTGGAGAGAAAAAGACGCTCCCTCTACAGAAGACGACGAAGAGTCACTGAGCTCCTCAGGAGTGCTAGAATATCTGATACACGAAAGGAGGCGCTGACCAGGGAAGTGGAAACTATCGAACTTAAGTTAAATGACTCTTACAGGAACCAGGAGAGGCAGGAGGAGCTTAAAGCTATTAGTGAAATTGAAAGAAATTCAAAATATTTCTTTTCATATGCCAAAAACAAGGCAAATACCACATCTAGTATCGGGCCCTTACTCAGACAGGATGGGACTTACACAGACGACAACAAGGAAATGAGTGAAATATTGGAATCCCAGTACGACTCTGTGTTTAGTGAACCATTAATCGGTTTGAGGATCGACGACCCTAATGATTTCTTCATGAATGAGCCTCAAAACTCCATAAATGTATGCCAGATTTCCGACATTACCCTAACTCCGATAGATTTCGAAAAAGCCATTGACAACATGCCTATGCACTCAGCCCCGGGCCCAGACTCGTGGAACTCTGTTTTCATTAAGAACTGCAAGAAACCCCTCTCGCGTGCCCTAAGTACACTATGGAGAAGGAGCTTGGACATGGGTGAAATTCCACAGTCACTTAAAACAACGGATATAGCCCCACTCCATAAAGGTGGCAGCAAAGCATTAGCTAAGAACTATAGACCAATAGCTCTAACATCCCACATCATAAAAATCTTTGAAAGAGTGCTAAGAAGCAGGATTGCAAATCACCTGGATTCCCAAAATCTGCACAATCCAGGGCAACATGGGTTCAGGGCAGGTCGCTCCTGCCTCTCACAACTACTGGATCATTATGACATGGCCTTGGATGCACTGGAAGAAAATCAGAATGCAGATGTAATTTACACAGACTTTGCAAAAGCATTTGACAAATGCGATCATGGCGTAATAGCCCATAAAATACGTGCTAAAGAAATAACTGGGAAAGTGGGCAGATGGATCTTCAACTTCCTAACAAATCGAACACAAAGAGTAGTGGTCAACAGAGTTAAATCGGAGGCTGCCATAGTGAAGAGCTCTGTTCCACAGAGGCACAGTACTCGCCCCCATCTTATTCCTTATCCTCATATCAGACATAAACAGAGATATACACCACAGCACCGTATCATCCTTTGCGGATGATACTAGGATCTGCATGAGGCTGTCATCTGATGAGGACGCGGTTAACCTCCAAGAAGATATAAACAAAGTTTTCCAGTGGGCAACGGTAAACAATATGATGTTCAATGAGGACAAATTCCAACTACTCCGTTATGGACAACTGAAGGAGATAATAACTAGAACAGAGTATACTACTGACTCCGGCCATACAATAGAGCGGAAAAATAATGTAAGGGACCTGGGAGTAGTAATGTCTGAGGATCTCACTTTCAAGGATCACAACAGTGCCACGATCGCACGTGCAAAGAAAATGATAGGATGGATAATGAGAACTTTCAAAACGAGAGATGCCAAGCCCATGATGATCCTTTTCAAATCACTTGTTCTCTCTAGGCTGGAATACTGCTGTACATTAACACCTCCATTCAAAGCAGGTGAAATCGCAGATCTAGAGAGTGTACAGAGATCCTTTACTGCACGTATAAGTTCTGTCAAGCACCTTAACTACTGGGAACGCTTGGAAGCACTTGACTTGTACTCGTTGGAACGCAGGAGGGAGAGATATATCATAATCTACACTTGGAAAATCTTGGAAGGAATGGTCCCAAATCTGCACACAGAAATCACTCCCTACGAAAGTAAAAGACTGGGCAGGCGATGCAAAATGCCGCCAATAAAAAGTAGGGGCGCCATTGGTACACTAAGAGAAAACACCATAAGTGTCCGGGGCCCAAAACTGTTCAACAGCCTCCCATCAAGCATTAGGGGAATTGCCAATAAACCCCTGGCTGCCTTCAAGAGAGAGCTGGACAGATACCTAAAGTCAGTGCCGGATCAGCCGGGCTGTGGCTCGTACGTCGGACTGCGTGCGGCCAGCAGTAACAGCCTAGTTGATCAGACCCTGATCCATCGGGAGGCCTGGTCATGGACCGGGCCGCGGGGGCGTTGATCCCCGGAATAACCTCCAGGTAACCTCCAGGTAGTCATATGATGACACTAAAGCTTTTTGGTCATCTGACCGAGGCCTTCCACCTGCTTACCCGTCCACCCCTTTTGAAAATTGAGATTATTAAAATTTTATTCATTTTGGGACCACTGCTATCTTTGGAGAAGATATCACTACACCTTCCGTCAGTTTACCAACCTAGGTAATTACTTTAAGTTCAAACCTACCAATGCGGACTGGCCTTCCTCCCTCCATTCTAATCGCCGTCAGGAGACCCGCCTCCTGACCAATTTCCGAAACGTCTCTACAGCAGAGTCCTCTCCATCCCACTTATCCTTACACCTTCGTCGCCCTCACCTTCGTCTCTATTAACGGAACCACTTTTCTTTTGCAGCTGACACTTCCCCTCCATGACGATCATCAAAGCATCGTCGACACTTTGATTCACTTCTTCAAAGCGGCGCACTTGATTGAGGTGATGTAGTTTATGCCTTCGTGACTGTACATTTTCGTATACATGTAAGCAACGTTTTTCCTGCCTTGTTTGAAGTCTCGTGGTCATATCTCCAATAGAAGTGTAACCAACTGTCCTAACCACCACCCGATGTAACGCCTCCAGTTTACTTCTGATCAGCTGCATACTTCCCTCACCACCACTCACTGCAGCCTTGACGTAACTCGACACTAAAGAAACCTTCAGAATACCACACAAAATATCTTTTTCTAGCGTTATTCATCATCAGATACTAATTATATGTATCCTAATGATAAATACACTAATCATACAAATGATTTCCGAGAACATGAGAACATGTATTCATTTCTAGGTACCTGTACTTATCTATGTGTAGTTGCAGGCGTCGTGACCAGGCCTGGTCACAGACCTGAGGCCTGGTCACAGACCTGAGGCCTGGTCACAGACCTGAGGCCTGGTCACAGACCTGAGGCCTGGTCACAGACCTGAGGCCTGGTCACAGACCTGAGGCCTGGTCACAGACCTGAGGCCTGGTCACAGACCTGAGGCCTGGTCACAGACCTGAGGCCTGGTCACAGACCTGAGGCCTGGTCACAGATCGGGCCGCGGTGGCGTTGACCCCCGGAAACATGACTCACGAAATCGTACTGACACGATTGCAAGCAAACCATACCACTGGTGGGGTTTGAACCCGCGGTCAGAGAGTCTCAAACTCCAGACAGTCGCGTTAGCCACTGGGTCAGCTAGCTTCAATAACATTCGTTCAACTAGATATATTTCTACACCATTGGAAGGTTAGCATAGGTACCACTGTGCCCACAAATGCAAGTTTTTACAGACAAATCTTATTGAAGCTAGCTGGCCCAGTGGCTAACGCGATGGTCTGGAGTTTTGAGACTCTTTGACCGCGGGTTCAAACCCCACCCGTGGTATGGTTTGATCCCCGGAACTCTCTCCAGGTATACTCCGCTCCTTGCTCTGCCTCTTGCCACTTGCTGGGTTTACCTCCTGTTAGCCTCATAGGCAATATCACATCTATTCTTAAAATTATTCATGGAGCTTGTCTACACTACTTTTACGTCCAGGTTATACCACTTTCTGACCACCCTCAGACTGTGGCATTCTTCTGTGTTATTTGTGTAAGTGTAACTAATGTGATTTCCATTAGGAATTATCCTCAGGCATTTGGTCACATCACTACACACTAGGCACTCACCTCCCTATTTCTGGCTGAGATGTCGTTTCTCAGCTCTTGGCCCCACCTCTTGAATGACGGTTACCAGGTTCACTCACTTTTAGCAGACTCCGCGAACGGAGTCTCCCTCCACCAGACACAGATACGCGTAGTGTGTCGTTGGTGTGTACACACTGAGCCAGGGAATCCGTCGTCTCCCCTGCACTGTGTCACACTGAGGTAGGGGATTGTCCAAGCTTGTTTTCCATCCTAATCTGGAGCGGCGGGTGTGCACGTAGCTATTGATGTAATCAGCTCCGTGAGTCTGGGTTTTATACATGGGATAAGTTCTCTACAGAAAAAGGAATCACTTGTAGCTACATAAAGAATGAAATGGAACAATACCGTGACTGGAACATTATACAAATAACCCGCACGTAGGAGAATGAAACTTAGTAAGACGTTTCGGACCGGCTTGGACCATTAACTAGTCACACGACTATAGTTAATGGTCCATGCTGAACCGAAACGTCGTCACAAGTTTCACTCTCCTACTTGCGGGTTATTTGTGTATTCATCGATACATCTTTCTTGCTCACAGATCTTATTAACTTTTGCTAAAAAGCATTTTACCTTCTTTCCTACATACCCTAACCTGAGTCTCGTTCTTCTCATAAAATGGCTTTGCAACTTCCACCAACTTCCGTTATATACCAGATATTTGCAACACAATCACATCATCTATCTCTTCATTCTGTTATTTATTTATTTTTTTTTTAAATTTATAAATGAAACAAAGGTCTTCCTTTTCTGTTTCTGTACAACGCTTAACCCACACCCACTTCTTTTTTCTGAATCCCGCTATCCTTTCATCCTCTCCCTTGTCTCCCCATTCTAATAAATGCAATTAATCAACACCCTAGAACTGGTATACTCAGCAGACTTTTTTCTCTATAATTCTTTTACTGTCTTCTGAGCCTTGTCGCTTTGTACGGAAGAGCTTTACATAATCTCGTTCCAGTCTACTGGTGTCATTCATTCATTCATGTACTGAACAAACACACCAACTACTCCATTATCATAGCCTTACCTGGTTTCAGCATTTCAGTTTAATACCATTCATTCCCTGCTGCCGCTGGCCCCGACAAGCAATTCTCAAGGGAACTTCAAGAGTGTCAGATGGAACTTAATAACCTTCAAATTAGCCTCTTTAATATATATAACTGAAAATGAGTGTTATGCCGGAAATGAAGAAGATGGCTAATGTAATTAATTTCTTCAAACCAGAGATAAGGCCATACCATCAAGTTATCGCCCGATAAGTTTAACAACATTAGTAGGCAAATTACTAGAATCAACAATAGTTCATATACAGTAACAAGAAACTATCTTGATGAGCATGATTTGATTACTGTGTCTTAACTCGATTCAAGAAAGGTTGCCCCTACCTGACAAACTGATTGACATTCTTCAGGAGAGCATATGAGGCAAGAAACCATGATAGGGTATACGATATCTATTGACTGGGGAAAAATAGTTCCAAAGGAAGAATTTGTAAGCACTAACCCAGGAAGGTGGCTCCGTTACAAAACACATCTTCTTAAAACGTCTCCAGAGCATGGTAGAGAGTTAGGTGATTTATCCCCGTCTAACAGTTGGCCTGTTTTCTGGTTTTGTAATAAGTTGTAATATAAGAATTCGGGATTACAAACCAAATAACTATAAAATTTATGACCTTTACAAGTAAAGTTGTCTTGCAGAATGTATGTGTACAAAGTTAAAAGATTGGTCATAAATAAGGAGTCAAACTCCTACACTTCTCTTGGTATGCACATATTCCTTTAACTGCATTAACTATAAGAATCTCTTTAAACCGATATATTAATATGGAGAAATCAAAATGATAGGCTTAGACTTAGTACTATCTTCATTCAGCCCAGCTTGGAATAATACCGACCACAGAGTAACACAAAAGGCCAAAAGGCAGATTCAGTTAGCTGAACCAACATTGGGTGTGATGACGTGACTCACAGTAGTACGGCAGAGACACCGGCAAGTAAACAAGCTAGCCGATAGTTAGCTAACTCTCGAACAGTGAGCACCATTATATGTAATATCCTACTTTATGACATAGCTAAGTATATAAGGGCAAATAATAATATAACGAGGAACATCTCCATTTTAGCTATCTAATGAAGATCTTCACAATATAAAATTAAATGAAAGGAAAATATATACATATATTAATTATTGATATTGGGTTTGAGCAGAGGACGCAACAGGCTCCAGGTGAAGACAGTGCCAGGATGTGGAACTCATAGTGAGTCCTTCTGGGGGAAAATAGGTTCTGGAAACGAAGAGAGTTCCAGGAGGGAGAGTTCCTTGTAACCACGGGTTCTGGAAGATAATTTCCCAGTAAGGATACGTCTAGGAGGGAGAGTTGGAGTACCATGATTGACAGCGGTGTTGAAATTTGCTCCAGCGCCTGGTCTCCAGAGGAGAGATCCAGCGTGGTTAAATTTATTTGGGTTTCGCCAGGAAAAAAAGACAATGGTGACTGGTTGGTTAATGGAGCTTTTAAAGCCTATCGACCACACGATGGTCATTAAGGCTGCATATTATCTATTCACCACAGGTCATGAATACCTTAATCCCTAAAGTAGTATACATACACTCAGTGTATATATACATTTCAGGGTGCATATATCCTGTATAAAGATGGACAGTTAGATGAAATGAAATATGAAGCAAGATGAGCTCAGGATTTTGTTCCGTCTGTGGTTATGTTGCTACATATAGAGGATACTACACTATATATAGCAACACCACCACCACCACCACCACCACCACCACCACCACCACCACCACCACCACCACCACCACCACCACCACCACCACCACCACCACCACCACCGCCACCACTACCACCTAACCTAACCTACCACCTCCACTATCACCTACACCACCACCAATTCTACTACCATCTCCACCACGTGGCACCGCCTGCACCACCACCACCACCTACACCATCACCTGCACCACCACTTCTACTATCACCACCACCATTTCTACTACCACCTCCACCACCACCTCCACCTTCACCTCCACCTCCATCACCACCTCCATCACCACCTCCACCACCACCTCCACCTCCCCCTCCATCACTACCATCACCTCCATCACTACCATCACCTCCATCACCACCTCCATCACCACCTCCACCACCACCTCTACTACCACCTCCACCACCACCTCCACCATCACCTCCACCTCCACCACCACATCCATCACCACCTCCATTACCACCTCCATCACCACCTCCATGACTACCACCACCTCCACCTCCACCTCCATCACTACCATCACCTCCATCACCACCTCCACCACCACCTGCACCACCTCCACTACCGCCTTCATATACCACGTACAACCAATATTTCTTACAGTGTCATCCACCTAAATATCTACAGAAACAAAGAAGACATACCCAGAATCCAGCATCGAAGGCGGTCGCTTGGGTCTGACATTTACAAACACAGAGAAAACAGACCTAGAGGCCAGAACTTAGAAGTGTTATCGTGTTTTGAAGCCTGGATATCTACAGGCCGGGAGGAGAGTATCCGGCCGCATCCGACACTCACTTTACGCTCTCCCAATTCAACAGTGACACATCAGCTGTTGGGAATTATAACACTGGGCCTGTACACTACAATAAAGTAGTTTGACGTAGTAGTATTAGTAGATGCAGTAGTAGTAGCAATAGTAGCAACATTGCAAAGCTTATTACAATTGTGATCTTTCATCCTCTCTCCCAAGATGCGACCCCACTGCCGTTGCATAACACTTAGGTACCTACTACCTGCAAGGTGAACAGAGGCAACAGGTATAAGGAAACATTCTCAATGTTTCGTCTCGTGCCGGGGATCGAGCCTTCAGATGTGATCCGACGGCGCTACCACTTGAGTCACGAAATTACAGACATCACACTTCAGAAAATTCTCTGACTATACTTCATATGAAATCTTAAAAAAAATAGAAATACTATAGAAATACTACTAATACTATTATTACTGGTGCTACTAGAACCACTAGTAGTAGTAGTACTACTACACTATTAACCTACTATTGTTACTAGTAGTACTACTACAATGCTACTAGAATACCATTACTAGTAATATTAGTACCATACAGCAGCTACACTACTACTACTATACTACCTAAATGCTATTACTATTATACTACTACTACTACTACTACTACTACTACTACTACTACTACTACTACTACTACTACTACTTTTATGACTACTACTACTACTTTTATGACTACTACTACTACTACTACTTTTATGACTACTACTACTACTAATAATAATAATAATAATAATGAAAACAATGAGAGTAGTAGCAGTAGCAATAATAATTATATCATAATAAGTGACGAATATGGTCTTAATGAGGCCATCATTGTATGGAGGACTGTGAACACAGCATCATCTGACGGATGTAACCACAACATCATGAGAGGACTGTGAGCACAGCATCATCTGACGGATGTAACCACAACATCATGAGAGGACTGTGAGCACTGCATCATCTGACGGATGTAACCACAACATCATGAGAGGACTGTCAGCACAGCATCATCTGACGGATGTAACCACAACATCATGAGAGGACTGTCAGCACAGCATCATCTGACGGATGTAACCACAACATCATGAGAGGACTGTGAGCACAGCATCATCTGACGGATGTAACCACAACATCATGAGAGGACTGTGAACACAGCATCATCTGACGGATGTAACCACAACATCATGAGAGGACTGTGAACACAGCATCATCTGACGGATGTAACCACAACATCATGAGAGGACTGTGAGCACAGCATCATCTGACGGATGTAACCACAACATCATGAGAGGACTGTGAACACAGCATCATCTGACGGATGTAACCACAACATCATGAGAGGACTGTGAGCACTGCATCATCTGACGGATGTAACCACAACATCATGAGAGGACTGTGAGCACTGCATCATCTGACGGATGTAACCACAACATCATGAGAGGACTGTGAACACAGCATCATCTGACGGATGTAACCACAACATCATGAGAGGACTGTGAGCACAGCATCATCTGACGGATGTAACCACAACATCATGAGAGGACTGTGAGCACAGCATCATCTGACGGATATAACCACAACATCATGAGAGGACTGTGAGCACAGCATCATCTGACGGATGTAACCACAACATCATGAGAGGACTGTGAGC